ACTTCACATTCCCTGATCTCAAGCAAAAGTCCTTCATGGTTGTTTGGATGGTTGGTTTTTTTTTTTTTTTTAAATAGGCTTTCTCTGTAGCTTTGGAGGCTGTCCTGGAACTAAATCTGTAGACCAGGCTGGCTTCAAACTCACAGAGGTCCACCTGCCTCTGCCTTCCAAGTATTGGAACTAAAGGCGTGCGCTACCATGCCTGGCTTTGTTTTTGTTTTTTTGAGATGGTTTCTCTCTGTAGACCGGGCTGGCCTCAAACTCACAGAGATCCACCAGCCTCTACCTCCCGAGTCCTGGGATTAAAGGTGTGTGCCACACCATCCAATTCTGAATAATATTTTTGTCTTTGCTTTTGTTTGTTGTTGGTTGGTTGGTTGGTTGGTGTGAGACAGGATTTCTCTGTGAAACAGTTCTGGCTGTCCTGGAACTTGCTCTGTAGGCCAAGCTTTCCTCAAACTCAGAGATCTGCCTGCCTCTGCCTCTCAAATGCTGGGATTAAAGTGTACCAGAACTGCCTGAGAGATTTATGTTTTTAAATCACTTGGAACTGAAGTTACAAGAACTGTGAACCACTTGATGTAGATGCTGGGACCTGAACCCAGGTCCTCTGCAAAAGCAGAAAGTGTTCTTAACCACTGAGCTATCTCTTAAGCCCGATTGAGTGACTTTTTTTTTTTTTCTAAACTCATGGTCTTATGTAGCCCAGGCCATCCAAAACCACCTTATATAGCTGAGAGTGACTTTGAACTTCTGATTCTTTTGCTTCCGCCTCCCAGTACTGGAATAATAAATGTGTGCCCCCAAACCCAGTTTTATATATCTCTGGGGATTGAACCTATCACCTGGTGCTTCATAGGTAAGTACCCCGCCAACTGAGCTACATCCCCAACCCTAATTGAACAATTTTTAAATGAAATCCAAGCCAGCAAAACAAACAGCAAATTTTAAATCCAAACATTTTAACACAATACAACGCCCAAACAAAATAATCTGCTATTCACATGCTGAAAAATGACAGCAGAGAAATATCTGCTGCATTTGTTTTCCATAATGAAGCCACTGTTTTCATAAGAGTAGAAACCTCTATGTGCCACACAAACACTGCTGTTCACAACATACCATAGTCTCTGATCTGAGCCGGGCATGTTTTGGTCAGTGTTCTTTGGCATCATACGACAGAATGTCATACACAAGGCCAAGTGCATATATGTGTTTAGAACCAAGGTTGCAGTGAGGTCTCACCTTGCAACAGGGGCGAGCACTGTCAGAGGCACCTTGGGTTCACAATGTGTTCAATTACAAATCATTTTGTTCAAATTCATGGGTTCAGAAACCTTTCATTGCTGTCAAAATTTTCATAAGCGACACATTCAGTCCTTTGACCCCAGACATGATGGCACTGTGTCTACCTCCTAATCCCCAGAGTCCATGAAGACAAAGGACTAGGCAATGAGGCAGATTAGGGATCTCGGTGTGTCCAGTCATCCTTGGTTCCTGGGTCTCCTTGAAGGACAATGGATGAAGAGGGGTCAGGTGCTGGTCTGAAGGTGACAAGTTATGAGCCACGAAGGGTGACTACCTCTCCTCCCAGCTTCAGGAAAAGAACGCAGCCCAACTAAATCTGCAGCTTGGAGCAGCCAAACTTGTGGTAAATTATGACCGTGTCTGTCAGACCTGAGACACCAGCTCCCGCGGCTGTGAGACACACACGGGCCTCTCCAAAGACAGATGATTTACGAAACAGACAGGAGTGTCTCAGAAAGGGAAGGGAAGTGATAAAAGTTAATAAAAAAGACCATGAGTGCTCTTTAGATGAAAAATCACTCCTCAAAACACAAGGGCATTTTAGATAAAACTGGATCAGTAGGCTCAGGGTAATTTAGAGAGGGCAGGCTCCGCAGAAGCAAGAACTCAAAGATGATGGGGTTTTTAACAGATAAGAAGAATACTGCCACAGTTAAGAGGACAGGTAGGTACCTGTCCCAAGGGGACACCAGAAGCTTCTAGAACTAAAGAAGGAGCCATGAGAAGGAGTGAACTCAACAGTGGAGAGAAAGTAATAGAAAAGAAAAGGAGAGGCAAAGTTCGGCATGGGAACTGGTCCCTGCCCCATGCGCTCACCATTCGCAGACAGGCAAATGGCCAGGGAAGCAGTCAGCGCCTCTGGTCTGAGGGGAAGGGTACTGAAAGGGAGGGAAAGGGAGAGAAGATGGAAGAGAAGGAGGGAGGGAGGCTACGAGGAAGGATGGGAGGGTGGGAAATTGGGATGGAAGACGAGCAGAAGAGGGAAGAAGAAGGGAGAGAAGGGAATGAGCAGAGGGAGGGAACCATATCCTAACATCCTCGGGCCTCGGCCCCACATGACGTCAGAGGCAGGAATGATTTAGGATGCTGGTGTGTGTGTGTGCTGGACGCCATCAAGAACTCGGCCAGATGTTGTTTATAGGAAGGTAAGACAGGGACATACTTAAGGATGCAAAGCCGAGTGTTTACATGCCCTGCCGAAAATGACTTCGTATAATCCATTCAAATGAAAGATGGATCAGAATTAATAAACACGGAGGCCGACCTGTGTAAACAGCTGGTGATTGTGGCTCGATCCAGCTCTGCAGAGGAGGACTTCATGAGTTAAGAATGGGAAAAGAAAACTGTCATAGTTCTAGAAAGTAAATCTTAACCAAAGAAGACCAAGACAACAGCTCATTGATACATAGATACAGTATTTGTATACACATAGATACCCAGTGTTTGTCTCTGCTCCCAACACTCACAGCGCAAGACAGGGTAAGGGCCAGTGTCTGTGAATTGAGGGGAAAGGGAGAGCTGGTGTCTGTGAATGGGGGGGGGGGGAGAAAAAGCTGGGGTCCCAGAAAGGGGGGGCGGAGTTGGTTTCCAGGGATGGAGGTGGAGTGGGGGTATGGGAGGGGAAAACTGGTGTCCATGCATGGAAGAGGGGGAGCTGGTATCAGGAGTAGAGGAGTAGGGGGAAGCTGTCGGCGAACTGAAGGTGGGAGAGAGGAGAAAGCTGACGTCTATGAATGGAGGGTAGTGGGGAGAGGAAGAGGGAGTAAGGAATGGGAGAGGTGTTCAGGAGGCAACTTGGATTCAGAAGAAAGACAAAGAGACTTCCCTTAGTGCTAGCAAAGGAAGGCTCCAGTAGGCAGGTCAGGTGACCCAGAGAGAAGCCAGTCCACACAGGAACCCAATGGTAGTCACCCTGAGAAAACACGAAGAGACAGACCCCCCTGTCTCTTGAGCTCGTGTCATATGAGCTTCCCTGAGGGACTGCCGCATATGAAAAGATAGCAGGTTGGCCCGCAGGAAACTAGGTCATCATGTAGCGGGACCAGCGTGAGAACCTGGCCTCTTGGCGCTGTTCTAAGTCTGCCTGCTTCACTGTGGGCCAGTCTGCGGCTGGGCTCTGTACAAGCAGGTCAGTCATCAGAGTGCCAGCCTACCTCACCTAGCTCATCCCCTTCAAGGTTGAAGATACCAAGATGCTAGGAACTCAGCCATTGACTGTCAGCTTTCACAACGTCCTGTTCTAGATCCCACGGGCATCTGCAGGTCTCCAATCACCGTCCTAAAGCTGTAACCACTTAGACTCCAGGAACTGCAAAGCTTCGCGTGGCTGACCGCGCCCCAAGAGAACAGCTGTCTCCAAGTGGCTGCATGGGGAGAGGGGTGCGGGGGGGCGGAGGTCACCCCAAGGAACCAAGTGTACCCAGGCTGACACAATGACGGCCAGAAGCACACCTCCACTAGGGCTGCTTAATTATGCAACCTCTTGTGCCCCATTCTTCCTCTATTCAAACCAAAAGCTCAGGCAAGCATCCCGAGGTGACTGTGAGGTGGGTGGACCTCCCCACTGTACCTCGCCACTGTGCCCTCCCCACTTTGCCCTTCCCACTGTGCCCTCCCCACTGTGCCCTCCCCAGTGTGCTATTGTTTCGTCCTCTCTTTTCCGATTATTTCTGTGTCTTACTGGATACTGGGGAGGGAGGCTGAGTGGCGTTTGTCGGCATGACACAGGCTACAGTCCCTTGGGCGAAGGGAACCTCAGTGAGGAAACACCGCCCTCAGGTTTTTCTGATTCCAGACAAATCAGGAAAGACCAGATTTGTCTGTGGCCATGTCTGTGTGACACTGTCATGACTGTTAACTGATGCAGGCAGGCCCAGTCCACTGCGGGTGGGGCCATCTCTAGGCAGGTGGCTCCTGGGTTCTGTAAGAACGCAGGCTGAGTAAGCCAATGAGCTGCATTTCTCCAAATTCCTGCTTGAGTCCCTACCCCGACTTCCCTCAGTGATGGGTGATCAACTATGAACAGGACATGTAAGCAAAACACTTTTGAGCCAGCTTCCTTCTGAGGTACCTACGCTTGGGTTTTACAGCTCTTTGGCCAGAGCATACTGGCTCCACACAGCTATTAAGACTGGTGGGATGGGGATGTGGTCCATCTGCTAGCATGCTTGCCTAGCATATATAGAGCCCTGGGTTCAATGCCCAGCACCACACAAACCGGATATGAGGTACAATCACAGCACTTCAGAAGTGGGAGGCAGGAGGGTAAGGAATTCAAGGTCATCTTCAGTTATTCAGTGAGTTCAAGGGCAGTCCAAGATCCAGGATATCCTGCATCAAATAAGCAAAGCCTGGAAGTGGACCCCCCCCTTTTTTTTCACATACCAACCAGTGTGTTCTACTGTGCTTTGAACTGAAAATGTCTTTACAGGCCCCAGGTTGTTCAAAGGGCAGCTCATGCGTGTGGACAGATCCAGAGCAACATTAACTAGAACTCAAACCCGCAACCTGCAGCAGGATTTGAACCTTAGCCTGACTCTGAGTTCACAGGGTAAACGGAGTGGGATGCATGGGGAATGGGACGACATACACTCCTTTGGTGCACTAGAAACTCTTGGCACACCACCATCAGCTGAGTCCCTAGTGGGAAGAAGATTGCCAGGGCCCTGGGAGGGCCTCAGGAAGCAGCTCACCTGTTGGGACTATAGCCCATAGAGGTCAGCATCCGTGCCTGGTCCAGGTCTCTCGGGAAGCCGTGCAGCACCCACCCTTTCTGGATGCAGTCTTGCTGGCCCAGACGTTCAGTCAGAGCCTTGATGATGATGCTGTCTGGCACTGTAGCGGAAGAAGGATAAGAGAGCGTGCTGTAGCCAACAACTTTCTAGTCTTCCTGGGCCACATGCCGAGCTACTGCGTGGGTAGCTTTGGGCAGAGCCAATTGGAACCACCTGGACAAGGTCCCTCTGTGGCCCAGCAACAAGAGAGACAGGAACAGCAAAGCTGCCTGAGACGGGGCAATGCAGCAGGTGATCTTGGCCCTCGCCTTTCACACCTTAACAAGACACCATCCTCCATCTGAGTCTGATATAGCAGCTAAAGCAAGGTACCATGAACCGAGAAGAACAGCAGTGTTGGCTCTTAGATCTGGAGGCTAAGAGGCAAAGTTGAGGGCCGACCCTGGGGAGGGTGGACTGCTCTCTAGTTTATACGCGCCCTATTGGGACTGGAGTTACAGATGGTTGTGAGCCGACACGTGGGTGCTAGGAACCAAACCTGGGTCCTGTGTAAGAGCAGCCGATGGTCTTAACTGCTGACATCTCTCCAGCCCTTGCTCTCTCTGTTCAAAGGGATGCTTGTGGAGGTCAGAACTGAATTTTATGGAGTCATATCTCTCCTCACACCTAGGGATTGAATTCAGGCTGTCAAGCTGCCATGGAAGCCATCCAGGAGGGCTCCATCATTGAGATGTAATCACTCCTTAGGGCTCCATCTTCTCCGACCACCATCTTAGCATATGAATTGGGAGGTGGGGGGGCACAAGCATTGGGATCACAGCAAATGCTTCTCATGAAAGCACACCCTGCACGGAGTTTTAATTTCCACCCAACACCATTGAGGCTCCATCCAGTTGACCTCAGAGGACTTGAAGTTCACAGCAACCCCTCTGGCTTCCTGCTAAGTCTCCCCTTATCTGTCCTGAGAACCCAATCTCTCCAGAATCACAGCTCTGCTCCTACCTGGAGACTAAGTCCCCAGCACAGGAGATGTGAGAAGCCTGTTTACATTGCTGCAAGTGACATTTTCCCGAAACTCATCCCTTCTTCCTAGACTCATTAAATGCTCCATGTTGCTAATGTTCTGCATCCTGGCAATTTGCACGGCATCGCCTGCGCTTTGCACTCATTTTCCCAGAAATACTCGGTAAATATTACTACTGTTTGCCATGGATGTGGGCCCCAAGCAGGGATGCTTGGCTGTTTCTCTAGAAGCTTCTGCAAGGTTCCCCTATCACCAAACATCTCTGGCTCTAGCAAGTGATCTAGGGCACATTCTGAAGCCTCACGAGGCCCCACAGGCCGGCAGCCAGTGGATGAGAGGCACTGCCCTCCATGTTATGATTATCTGGGTGCTGCTCTGTCTCAAAAAATCTACAGCTGTATTCCAAAGGATGAGCTTCACCTTAGACTTGGGGCTTTCGAGCAAGCCAGTACAGTGGCACATGCCTTTAATCCCTGTACTTGGGTGGCAGAGGCAGGTGGATCTTTGTGAGTTCAAGGCCAGCCTGTGTAGGGAGACCCTGTCTCAACCAAACTAAGGCCTCTGGCTGCCCATTCAGAGCAGCTGCTAGGGCTGCCTCTTGCCCTGTGGTGATCTCAGGACTTGACAGGAGTTGACTTAAAGGAGAAAGGGTTTAGTTTAAGTCCACATGTCCATCACAGCAGGGGAGTCAATGCAGGAACTTGGAAGCAGCAGGTCACATCACGTCCACAGTCAAGGGCTCAGTGTATGCACATTCGTGTGAATGCAAGCATGTATGTCACCACATGCACGTGGAGGTCAGGGGGCAACTTTGGCTGTTACTCCGAGCCTTCTATTTTGTAGACAGGATTTCTTAGTCACTGCATGCATGGCTTGCATGGACTTGGAATACTGGAGACAGTCCCCAAAGAATTCCCTCCCCGACTGGGCAGTAGTGGCACAGGCCTTTAATCCCAGCACTTGGGAGGCAGAAGCAGGCTGATCTCTGAGTTTGAGGTGAGCCTGGTCTACAGAGCGAGTTCCAGAACAGCTAGGACTACACAGAGAAACCCTGTCTTGAAAAAACAAACAAACAGACAGACAGACAGAGTTCCCTCCTTTCCTCCCTCCCTCCTTTTATTACTTTCTGAGTCAGGATCTCACTATGTAACCAAGGAACTTCTCATCTTCCTGCCTCCACCTCCTAAGTGCCAGGATTACCAGAGTATATCCTCATAGCTGGTGTATGTGGTGCTGAGGATGAGGCTCGGACCATGGCTTCCTATACTCCCCATGTGTATTAGGCCAACACTACTCACTGAGACATGTCCCATGTGCTATTTCCTTAAAATAGGAAACTTCTCTCTGCAGGAGCTTGCATTGGTCACTGTGAACTTGTTCCTGGGACAGAAGGCTGCCCTTAGGTGGCTCCCACATGAGGAACTCCTTGGGTGGGTGACTCCCATCCTCTTGTTTTACCAGCTAGGGAAGCTCTGCCGGGAGCCTGGCATCATGAGGGTTTGCCCAGCATTGCCCATCTTGGATTATCCTGGCAAGGACTATCATCCATGTACAACATGAAGCATCAATACATCCAGAGTCTCCAGGAGGCTACAGAGCTGAGGCGTGTGCCAGTCTTCCCCCCAGAAGCACTCTAGGGGTGTCCTCTGGTGCACTGGCTGTGCTTTCTCAAGAATCTGGGTTGAGGCTGGAGAGACTGCCGGCCGAGAATAAATGACTGACCCCCTCAGGATACTGAGGCCACTGCCCTACCCATGTAGCCAGCAGAGGGGTAGGGTCTGGGTGTAGAGGGGAGGAACTTGAAGACCCCAGATATGGCCCAAGAGTCTGTGTAAGGGCTTTCAGGTGTCTGTGTGCCCTGCTCCCTGCAGGCTCAGGGCATGTTGGTCCAGCCCTGTGTGTTCTGACCAACCAGTTTAGCAGCCAGAGGCTCTGTGACCAGATCTCGCTGATAGTGTTCTGTGAGAAGCTTAAAATTCCCTTGATAACGTGTACATTTATCCTCTTCTCCCAGAGATGGCTCTTCACCTAAAGTCATTCACCATTAAGTTAGATGCCTCAGGCTTGGTTTCGGAGCTTGACAGTTAACATCTCACCCTTCATTCTAGCCGCTGCCAAGGGCTACTTCTCCAGAGTGTCCTGTCAGCTGAGTTTAGCAGAGTGCAAAATGTGAGGGGTCTATTATTCCACGGGGTCATACCATGTGACGTTAGTTTTCTTCCCTCTCTCTTCCTTCTTCACGGTCCTTGAGTTGACATCAAGGTTATTAAAATATCAGTTCACCGATTTTAGGGTTGGGTGTGCTTAGTTGGGGGGGGGGCTCAGCAGGGTACCTACCAAGACCCCCTCTACCCAGGAGCCCTCAGGCCCGCCCTACACCTAGTTTCCTGTAAGCATCACTTTCGGGCTCCAGACAGGACAACTTATCATCCTGAAGTGGCCACTTGTGGGATAGAGCTGGCTGGGACTGGTCCCTCTCTGTGGGTCTGACATGTCATCTTCAGCCTGCTCCAGAAGGGAGCCAGCCACAGCCAACATCCAGGCTGTTAGCAGACCACAGCGCCCCCTGCTGTCCACCCTACCAGGAAGATACTGAGGTCTTAAAAAACAGTATTTTGTGCTATAACCCTCCTGGACACCATGAGACGAAGCAGAAAGAGGCCCTTAACTCTAGCACATGTTCTTCCAAAACCTACTCATAACTTCCTTCCACACCCTCTCACAACCCGCTCCCCATCTGTACCCGGTCCTTTTGTCCTCCACACCCCTCACCTGCACCACACCTGTCCTCCACACACCCCTCACCT